GGAGGAAATAAGGAGGGCAAAAAGGGGGCACGAGATAGATTTGGCAGATGTGGTAGAGGAGAATCTAAAGAGATTCTACAAGTATATTAAGGATGAAAGAGAGACTAGGGAGAGAATAGGGTCCCTTAAAGATCAACGAGGCCATCTACTTATGCAATCACAGGAGACGGTGAGATCCTAAATGAATATTTTGCATCAGTATTTACCATGGAGAAAGACGTGGAAGTTAGGGAAATAAACAGTGCTGTCTTGAATAGAGTCCACATTAAGGAGGAGGTGCTGGAGGTGTTAAAATACATAAAGGTAGATAAATCCCCAGGACCTGATCAGATGTATCCCAGGAGACTGTGGGAAGCAATTGCAGGGGCCCCTAGCAAAGATATTTGTATCATTGACAGCCACACATGAGGTGTCAGAAGACTGGAGGATGGCTAATGTTGTGCTGTTATTTAAGAACGGCTGCAAGGAAAAGCCAGGGAACTACAGACCGGTGAGCCTAATGTTAGTGGTGGGTAAATTGTTTGACAGGATTCTGATAGACAAGATTTACATGCATTTGGAAAGGCAAGGAGTAATTAGGGATAATCGTGAGACTTTGTGTATGGGAAATCATGTCTCACAAATTTGATTGAGTTTTTTTGAAGAGGTGACTAAGAAGATATATGAAGGCAGAAAGATAGACATTGTCTATGTGGTCTTTAGTATGGCCTTTGACAAGGTTCCGCATGGTAGACTGGTTAGTAAGGTTAGATCACATGGGATCCTTGGATACAAAACTGGATTGAAGGTGGGAGGCAGAGTGTGGTGGTAGAGGCACCTTCCCAGGCTGGAGCATCCACAACAACATCCACCTGGTCCGGGATGTGATCCGTTATTCACAGAGGGCTGGCCTGTCGAGCACCTCAAAGCCTGTCACCATCTTTTAAGGCACGTCAGGAGTGTGATGGACTATTCCCCACTTGTCTGGATGACTGCAGCTCCAATAACACTCTGGAAACTTGACACCATCCAGGACAGAGCAGCCTGTTTAAGTAGCACTGCATCCACAAGCATCCAATCCCTCCACCACTGATGCTGAGTAGCAGCAAGGTGTACTATCTACAAATGCACTGCAGAAATTCAAATTAGACAGTACTGTCCAAACCTACAATCATTTCCATCTAGAAGCACAAGGACGGATACATGGGAATACCTCCAGCTGCAAGTTCCCTTCCAAGTTATTCACTATGCTGACTTAGAAAAATATCACTGTTCCTTCACTATTGTTGGGTCAAAATCCTGGAATTTCCTTCCTTATGGCTTTGTGGGTCTACCTACAGCATGTGGACTGCAGTGGTTCAAGAACGTCGTTCATCTTCACATTGTCAAGGGCAACTAGAGATGTGAAATAAATGCTGGCCAGGCAGAGACACCCACATCCCATGCGAGAATTAAAAATAATTATAGACCTCAAGGTTTTTTAACCTTTCTCATAGTTTATCATATTTACACTTAGGTCATGATGACATGGATTAGTTAAGAAGCTTAAGGAAAAAACTGGATTATATAATTGAAAAGCTTCATTGGCCATTCATTTATTAAAAAGTTAGAAAAGGACTTGCTGTACTTTTTAAAATAATTTCCTGCATTAACATAAACTCTCATACAGACATTATAGGCCAAACATTCTGATCAGGGCCAGAAAAGCTATCCGTGGAGTTCTCCACGCAGAATTCTGGGTCAGCATCCAAATGATGCCAACTAGTCCAAGCCAAGAATCCAAGTGGCCAGCAGCTGAGTGGGTCAGCATTGAAACACCTTTCTCTTTGATACTAATTGCACTATTCCAAGATTCAAAGTACTGAAGGCACTTTGACAGATGTGACAGACTGGTTGGTGGTGATGGGCGTATGTGTGTGTTGGAAAGGGGGAGGAAGGGCATGGGGAGTGGGAGAGATAGGTATGGCAATTTGGAAAACAGATGCTATTACATTCCCTCTAATCGTAATTCAATGCTACACTGCTGTATTTGCAGCAAGGCACAAACTAGACAGATGTTCACTTGAAAATCTAGGAATAAGGAACAATGTTGAAACTTCAAGGGATGAAAACAGGGTCATCTTTTAAAATAGGGAGTTGATTTTGCTTTTTTATGCTAACCATTTTGAAATCTAATACATTTTATTCATACTGATGTTAATTATAGCATTTCTTTGCACTCCTTTAGAAAACTCAATGCAAGGAATTTGCACACTAAAAATCTTACTTGACTTCGCAGGAATGAATACTTAATTCCTTGTGTATCAATCCACTAGTAAGATGATAAACCAACACAGATCCATTGCTAGTACCTGAAATACATATTGATTAACCAAATGATGAACGTGTTTTTTATGCAGCTAATAATTAAACAACAACTTGAACAATTTTAAATAAAAATTCTGTTGTCAACTAACTGATCAGAGGTAAAATGATGGGTCATGTGACTCAAAGTATCACCTAGTGATACTCACTGAAGGTCAATACTTCGTTATAATCATATGCACTGTGATTAAATTCAATTCTATAAGGTTGAACTACTAAGCCATAGGACCTTGTCAATGACTCAGCAAGGTTACCTTGTGCCTAGATGAGCAACATCACATTAAACCTGGGACCTTCTAAGTTAATAACTTCCAGTTTGATATCCAGTCTCTGTTACATTCATTGATCTTGACTGGGACAGTAGAGAAGCATTACAATTAGCTTCAGAATTCCCTTGGTTAGTATTGAATTCCCACTGCTGTTTGCCACTCAGCAACCGCTGCCATAAGTTCGAACTTGCAGACAGTTGGCAGGAATAGCATCAGCTTGATCATCTTCACAGTTCAATGGCTTGCAGATATTCTCTGTCAAGAGCCATATGTAAATAATGGTCTCAAGCAAGCAACCACAGGTGACAACAATCAACAAGCAGCCAATGCCTTTAGAAAAGTAGGACATGGAAGAACAGGAACATTACTGGGAGAAAAATGAGCCACATTCCAGTTTGGCAACTTAAAGACTTCAGAGTATGAAGATATTAAGAATAATTTATCCCACTATGTAAATCTAACCAGCTTACATGCAACTCGCTCGTCACTTCATTGTTTTAGAGTTTAAGATGAATGTTGTATGCATGCAGTTCAAACATGCATTTTAAAAGACAAATGTACAAAGTACGTTCACCAAATCAACATCTTTTCAAAAATTGTTCTTAATTATGCTTAACTGGTAAGTTCATTTCCTCCAAGAACACATCTTGATAATATTTGAAATAGAACTTCCTCACATAACAAACTCAGAATTTTATTCTTCTTAAAATTAATCCAGAAATATTTGAGATACTAGCAATAATCATCAAAACAGCTCACTTTTGTATAATAATAGAGACCACAAGGACAACATGTTGGGATTGCGGCTTGACAAAATTACAATGAAATACGTAAACCTCATGAAATAATAAAAACAGATCCAAACTTTGTCTTTACACAGCTACAGGAGTGAGACTCATGAAAAACAGGAAATCCTGCATTCCTGTAAATGGACCCAGTACCTTTTATTTGAACAGAAATTGCTATTTAATCTTAATAACATCCTAAACCCCACAGACGTGCTCACCCACAGCCAACAAAGGTTGATAGTTCTTTATGTTCTTGGTAGTAAGTGGTGGACACATTCGTATGACAAAAGGTGGCAGTGGGAGACCCGACAACAAGCCAGTCAGCAGGAACTTCAGTTGAACCTCCTGTTGGTACGGAACATTAGGTTGTTCTTCACCTACTGCCATACTTTGCCCTGTTTAAAAAAAAATTGGAAGGATAAAACATGTGCTACATCAAAACAAGTCATCTAAATCCTGCATAACATGACTCAACAGGACTGAAGATTATCAGGAGAAATGTAGACTGAGATAATCAAATGAACCGTAACCAGTTTGATATTGATATGGTCACACTCCAGGAATTCAGAAATCATGAGTGAGCTCTCAAGGTTTATGTTATTATTCCCACTTCCTTATCAGAGTGGTACAATTGCAGACTGTTTAAAAACAATTGAGCAAGCTTGTGGGCACACATGTCTTGTCATCTATTATAAAACACGTGCAAGTATAAAGTTATCTAAATGTAACTGGCACATTGGTAACAAATGAGCCCAAAGATGTTATCATCTGTGGTAAATAACTGGCCAGGACTGAATGGAGGATGCAAGATTAGCTGCAGTCTCTTCTGTTTCACTTTCTTCCTCAAGAGCTGTTTAAAGCTAAAACATAAGAAAAGGTAGATTGAACACAGATCAGGGAAGGGAAAGATGTGATGGGCTGATTGGTCATTTCTTGTCTCATGCTTTATGTTTTTAAATAGTTACACTGCAGGGATATGAAACATTCTATTCACCCCAGAAATCTATCAGTTAATGCCATTGAATTAAGTTAGTGAGCAAGTATGGCATTGTTAAATTTATACAAGAATGCAGAGTATTAGCTATTTGCTTAACGTCATTTAGGTTTGGAGCTATAAAAATCTACACAGCTACAGCAGAAATTCGAATTTACTTGTCTTAAAAGGTAACCAGAGCAGTTTTACACTTTATGAAATAACGAAAACCTTAATGATCTTTAGTAACACATTTGGTACGTTGTTCTCTTTAGTTAACAAAATGTGAGCTAAAAAATGATGACAGACTAATAAATCACAATTTCAGTAAATTTAGAGGAGAAGAATTTTTTTTTTAAATCAATCTCACAATCATTCTATCTAAAATGAATTATGTGAGCTATTACTGGCAATTTTTAGTCAGTCACTTTGCCGAAAGGCTGGTAGTATGTAATTGGAATACAACTGCACTATGCTACATTATATATTCTACCTCAGTGTCATCATGAATGTAAAGATAAAGGTAAAGTGCCATAATCTTACCAGACCATAGGACTGCTCTCTCATTAGAGAAAGATGTCTGATGGCGATTTAATCTGAGGGTTGCCACACCTCAAGCAAGGGGACAGGTTGAGAAGGACAGTCCTTCACAGTAACCTCAGCCAGTGCAGGAATTGAACCAACGTTGTTGGCATCACTCTGCATCACAAACCAGCTGTCTAGTCAACTGAGCTAACTTCACAATTCTGGCTATAATTCAATTATGGTAGCACTGTGGCATTGGAAACTGTGGCATCAGATAAATATGTTGAAGCCACATGCAGATAATATGAATTATCAGGAAAGCCTATAGAAACTTAAGGATCTTTATAATGGAAGATGGTTGCTCAGAGGAGTATTCAAGATTCTAACAGAAGTAAATAAACTGAATCAAATGTAACATTTCCTTACAGTCACTAGCTACACAACAACAGCTTAAGGGTTCAAGGTTAGCAAAGGAGGAACAAAGAGGTGTAATGAATAAAGTTTGAGAAGATTTGCAACTCGTGTTGTGATGAGGTTATAGATATGCTCACTGAGCCAGTGGGTTTGATTGCAAACATTTTGTCACCCTGCTAGGTAACATTGTCAGTGCCCCTCCGGTGAAGCGCCGGTGTTCTGTCCCACTTGTTATTTATATGCCTTAGTTTGTTGGGGTGTTTGGTACCACTTCCGGTTCTGTTTCTCAGTAGTTTGTACACAGGGTCTAATTCAATGTGTTTGTTGATGGAGTTCCGGTTAGAATCCCAAGCCTCCAGGAATTCCCTGGCGTGTCTCTGTTTGGCTTGTGCGATTATAGATGTGTTGTCCCAGTTGAATTCATATCCCTTTTTGTCCGTATGTAGTGAGACAAGTGAGAATTGGTCATGCCTCTTGTCGGCCAGATGGTGTTCATGCATCCGTATTGTCAGTTTTCTTCCAGTTTGGCCAATGTAATGTTTCTCACAGTCCTTGCATGGCATTTTGTATATTACACCGGTTTGCTGCTTTTGGGTATAGGATCCTTTACGTTCGTCAGTAGCTGTCGCAGCGTGGCTGTCGATTTGTGGGGTACCCTGACACCTAGGGGTCTGAGTAGTCTTGTGCACAAGACTATTCAGATTCATTTGGTTCAATCATGTCAAATGTCTTGATGAGTCTGGGAAAGGGTGTGTAGATAGTTTGGGTCATATTGAGATTAAAAGGGAGGAGGTATTGGGGGTCTTGAAAAAAATTAAGGCAGACAAGTCCCCAAGGCCCGATGGGACATACCCCAGAAAACTGAGAAAGACAAGGGAGGAAATTGCTGGGGCCTTGAGGGAAATCTTTGTATCCTCACTGGCTACAGGGGAGGTCCCAGAGGATTGGAGAATGGCCAATGTCATTCCTTTGTTTAAGAAGGGTGGCAAGGATAATCCAGCTAATTACAGGCCGGTGAGCCTTACGTCAGTGGTAGGGAAATTATTGGAGAGGATTTTGAGACACAGGATTTACTCCCACCTGGAAATCAGTGGGCGTATTAGAGAGAGGCAACATGGTTTTGTGAAGGGGAGATGTCTCACTAACTTTGTTTGAGTTTTTTGAAGAAGTGACAAAGATGATCGATGAGGGTAGGGCAGTGGATGTTGTCTGCATGGACTTCAGTAAGGCCTTTGACAAGGTCCCTCATGGCAGGCTGATACAGAAGGTAAAGTCGCACGGGGTCAGAGGTGAGCTTGCAAGATGGATAAAAAAACTGGCTCGGTCATAGAAGACAGAGGGTAGCAGCGGAAAGGTGCGTTTCTGAATGGAGGGCTGTCACTAGTGGCATTCCTCAGGGATCAGTGTTGGGACCTTTGGTATTTGTAATATATATAAATGATCTGGAGGAGAATGTAACTGGTCTGATTAGTAAGTTTGCCGATGACACAAAGGTTGGTGGAATTGTGGATAGCGATGAGGACCTTCAAAGGATACAGCTGAATGTAGATCAGTTGTTGATTTGGGCAGCGAGATGGCAGATGAAGTTTAATCTGGAAAAATCTGAGCTAATGCATTTTGGAAGGTCTAATCTAGATGGAAAATATACAGTAAATGGCAGAACCCTTAAGAGTATTCATAGGCAGAGAGATCTGAGTGTACAGGTACACAGGTCACTGAAAGTGACAACGCAGGTGGAAAAGGTAGTCAACAAGGCATATGGCATGCTTGCCTTCATCTGCCGGGGCACTGAGTTTAAAAATTGGCAGGTAATGTTGCAGCTTTATAGAACCTTAGTTAGGCCACATTTGGAATATTGTGTTTAATTCTGGTTGCCACACTCCCAGAAGGATGTGGTGGCTTTGGAGAGGGTACAGAAAAGATTAACCAGGAGGTTGCCTGGTATGGTGGACATTAGCTATGAGGAGGGGTTGGAGAAACTTGGGTTGCTCTCACTGGAATGACAGAGGTTAAGGGGGACCTGATAGACGTCTACAAGATTATGAAGGGCATGGACAGACTGGACAGTCAGAAGCTTTTCCCCAGGGTGGAAGAGTCAGTTACCAGGGGCCATGGGTTTAAAGTGCGAGGGGCAAGGTCTAAAGGTGATGTACGAGGCACGTTTTTTTACACAGAGGGTGGTGGGTGCCTAGAACTCGCTGCCAGGGGAGGTAGTGGAAGCAGATACTATAGTGACTTTTAAAGGGCGTCTTGACAAATATATGAATAGGATGGGAATGGAGGGATACGGTCCCCGGAAGGGTAGGGGGTTTTAGTTGTGACGGGCAGCATGTCGGTGAAGGCTTGGAGGGCTGAAGGGCCTGTTCCTGTACTGCAATTTTCTTTGTTCTTTGTGTCTTTTGAATAGCACTACAAAGTTTTGAATATATTATGTTATGCCACATCATTAGTTTGCCTTGCTTGACCTGAACAAAATTACCTCTAAGCATTCCACTTCATTCTAACCTTATTTTCTTTAATAGCCAATTGGTAGTAGAGAACTTGAATATTGCTGGAAAAAAGAGACATTTTGTTGAAGTTTTTTGTCTTGCACTCATCAGGACAATCCACAAGAATAGAAACATAAAGCAAACAGTAGTTAAACTAGACGAGAGGCAGTGCTACTTCGTTGGAGAGTGGGCTCTGGTGACCAACAGTTAAAGGTGAAGGTAACTTCTTAAATATAACTCTCCTTCAAAACCCTTCTATGGAAGGTGGTCAAAGAAACTGTAAAGTCCAGCAGGACTCTTTAAATGCATTTTTTGATACTATAGAAGAAGAGGCAACTGAACGTTACGTATACAATCCATATATGAATGTTTGAAATGACCAATCACTTCATTAAAATGCATTTTAAAGTAGAAGTGGAAGACACAGCTACTTTCAGTACAGGTCTCAATAGTTTTACGGTAAAAATATTAGTGGCAATCTTGAGCTATTGACAGTCACTTTGTTGGACTTAATTAGCAAATGCTCTGCCAACCTGAGTTTTGCAACACATAGCTCCAGAGAAAATCAGAGATTAGCAGAAGCGTCATACTATCAAGTACATGGTCAACATGATACTTGAAGTTACTTGCTGGAAAACCTACAACTAATGCCAATTCAGTAACCCTTCCTTTCCCATTTGCATGTAGACACTTTTACAGAACAAATAGTAGTAAAGAGAGGCTCAAGAAGGAATGAAAGAGAAAAGAAGTGGTTTCAGTGTAGTGGATTCTTATATTATACCTCTAATTTGGAGGAATAGAAAAGTGTTTTATACTAAAGGTTGTCAGTCTCCTTACAACCTTCTTTCCATCTTTCATCACTACATGCAAAAGCCTAACATCTTTACATGAATTTATAGAAAAGTCCAAATCAGCGTGTGCGTTATGAGATAAAAGCAGACTAAAAGTTTATATTGTTACCTATCATGTTATCCAAGGAGAGATCTGGAAACTTCTTTTTTTGGGTACCCATTGGAATTCCACAAAATGAAACTGGACAATATAAAGGAGAGACTGTGGAACCTGAGTAACTGTTGTAAACAGAAAACAGAAAGAAATAACTCAAACAATAAATCAAAAATCACTACAAAATGTTTAGCCATCTTACATTTGTGATATGCCGGTTAACTAAATAAAAAACTTTTTTTTCAAAAAAATATGAGAGGGCAGAAGCTGAACGCACACAGACCCTTGAACCTGTTCTACCATTCAATTCATTCATATCCTGATCCTGGCTGCTGTCCATAGCACTTGATGCCCAAGAGACCGAAAGCCTCTCCCTCAGTTTCCAATAATGCAATATCCATAACACTTCGAGAGAGAATTCCTCACAAGCCACTGAGTGAAGAAGCATCCCTGTATTTAAAACCCAAAGGACAAGCCCCTTACACTAAGAAGATCACCTCCAATTTTCTAAACTCCAGGGAATGCAGGACAAATTTACGCAGCCTGATACCCACATCTCATTCAGGTACCAATCTAGCAAGTCTTTGCTATGCTGCCTGCAATGTAAGTTCATTGTTTCTTAGACACCAAAACTGCACACAGTATTCTAACTGTGATCTCATCAAAGTCTTGCACAATTGTGTAAAATTTCCGATTTCTTGAACTCCAATCCCCTTGTAATGAAGGCCAAAGTACCACTTGTCTTCCTACAAAATTGTAATTTTGTCCTCAATAACTGTACATTGAAATAATTGCTTCTAATAAAGCACTTAATCCTCAAAGCACTCCACATTCAATAAAAAAAACCTGAAGTGCAATCAAATCAAAAAAGCAATTTGTTTCTGAATTTAGTCAAGGGGAGAAAGTTAGCCAGAAAACCAGGAGAAATGTCTGCTCTTCGTTGAATAGTGCAAAAGGACCTTCAACCTCTACTTTAAATATTAGACAAAGGCATACCTCTCAATTTCACCTCATTAAACCAACTTCATTCCAAAAGTACAGCCCTCTATCAGTAGTCATTGGGCAATTCTTCCCAAACCATGCACTCGTGAACTAGGAGGTAGGGGACATGGGAATAGGCTGAAAGTGAACCGACAATTTGACAGAATGCTATCAAATGAACCAAGCTAATTCTTACTGTGTCTAGCTGACACTAATATAATAATTACATGGAATGATCAAATTTTTGGACATTGGTATCTTAGCTCCATCTGTACACAGCAAATATATGTACCCCCTCATCATCAGTTATTTTAAGCTTGATTGGGGGTCCAAACAATAAAGTATGGAGATGTTTTGGAGTTGAATACTTATTTTACCTCTGTGACAAATTCTAATTATGTCTAGATTTATTCAATAAGTCTGCACTTTATGCTCGCTATGATAGTCCTCTCACAACTGCACAATGTTCAGTGTTAATAAAAAACATTTGCTGTGCAGCACATGATGCACATACCCTTGGGGCAGTCTGCCAAAACTACAAAGGAAGTGCAGTAATACTCAGAGGACAGAGAATTTGGTGGATTTTACAGGAACAAATCAGCTGAAGAGAATGTTAGCAGATATGCATTATGGCTTGAACCAAATTTACATCCTCTGTGGCAATTACACATCCAATACCATAGCAGCCTCAGAGAAGCAAAGAGAATAATTAATTTTTTTTTCCTCCAGATTGGCATTAAACTGCATTGTTGACACTAAATTAATGAGAGGGAGCCACACTCTATTTCTAAAAGTGTTACCTATCTTGTTTCTGGCACAAGTAAAAATATTCTATTCTCCAAACATTACATTTTACAATGAATAAATCATGAAAATAAATATTAATTTGAAAACATATCAACATTCCAGAACTATTTAAAAGCTCAATATGACGTTTGCATTTTCAAAATGGTTTTCTTTCCTGCATTTATAATCTGAGCATTTGTACCATCAATCACAAAGGCAATCTGTTGAGAATAAATTGCTCAATTATCAAATTTGTAGAATTGATTTGACTGTACTCATCAGTTTTAGCACGTAGCCTACAACTCAAAACATACAAGTTAAATTAGAGGATTATCAGAAGTGGCTACTGAAACACAGTCAATCAAAACATTTAAGAGGAAATTAGACAAACGTTATGAAAATTATTGATGGCTTCAACGACAAAAGACCGGAAATGAAATGTGAATCCAACACTGATTGACACACAAGAGGCCAAATTGCTTTCTTTTTTCTGCAGTTGAATTGTTCAATACTGAATTGGTGAGAAATTAATTTGTAATTTTGAAATGATTAATATTTATTCATAGTACATAATTATTCAATTTATTTACTTATTGAAATGTATTATGTTTGGATACTGTTGGCTATATTTCTCGAGGAAAGGGTGGACAAAAATACCTGCAATAAGGCTTTGGCCCCAGTAAGTTTGTTTTCAACTCCCATAACATGACTCTGCCATCACTGACAATTAAAGCAGCAGAATTTTCATTAATAGGACAGCACACCATGTTAAAAGGACGAACTGTCTTAGTGACTCTGATTGCATCACACTGACAACGTAGATCATAGGTGAGTTCCTGAACAGGCTGATCCGGATCTGAAAACATTAAGAAAAATGTTATTTCAAATGAAAGATAATCCTCTGTAAACACAATAATTATGTCCAATCAGTATGCAATTTGTCTCCTCGTTGCAAAATTATTATATAATTTTGGGTTGTACTGAGGATGTATGTACCTAAACGAGAATGAACATAATAAAAACAACCTACAGATTTCAAGTTGATTAGTACCATGGCTGCTTTAATTGGAGCCTGCTGATCTACTCCTTTGTCCTTTCACATCCATAAATTAGTTCTGTTTCTCCTTTATTTTTGCTAATCAGGATAGCTCCAACGAGATGTTCAGCAGTAATCATTAATTATTCATCCCCTCAAATCCTTGTATAATTTATGCCTGTTATATTCCCCAATTTTTTCAAGCCTCTCTTAATAACTGTAAGTTATCGTTTGCGGTATCATTCAAAAGAATCTTCGTGGTATCCTTTCCATGTGTCAGTATCGTTCCTGTGCAAAACAAAATACAATGTTCCATCTGGGAGATAGTAAGAACTGCCGATGCTGGAGTCAGAGATAACACAGTGTGGAGCTGGAGGAGCACAGCAGGCCAGGCAGCATCAGAGGAGCAGGAAAGTTGACATTTTAGGTTGGGACCCTTCTTCAGAAACAATGTTCCATCTGTGGCCCATCAATGTGATGTGCGAATTTTTAAAAATCTTTTTATTCAGTGCTCCTAAAAAAAAACTTCAATTTGCCTTTTCATAGCCTTTTCCAGCTACTGCAACAACAATTTGCATTTATATCGTTCCTCTAATGTTGAAAAATATCCCAAGGCAGCTCTAAAAGCGCAATACAACTTTAAAAATCTATCTATTGCACTTTTAGGCATTTTCCTTATCGCTTATTGTAAGCTCCTGAACAAACGAATCTGGAATGAGAAACGTTTAAGGGACCTGTCATTTCGCTCATTTCCTGAAGTATACTACTTAAACTGAACTGCATTTGTTACCCATCTATTGACTCTGCTAAGTATATATGCAAACTCTGTAATCTCATGAATTCATCTTCACAGATCATGTTCCAAAATTTCATATCAGAAAGCTTCCATTTGTTACTTCCCAATTACAAGATAGCTTTATTCAGCTTTGGCCCATATATGCTTATAAAATCTCTTCATTATTTAACTCCCTTTGAGAATCAGATTGCACTAATTGACTTAAGCTTATCTGCTTTAAAAATGGAAGTAAATGTGGCTTAGTTTCACTTTATACTTTGGATCATATGTACAACTTGAAATTGTAGCATAAATGGAACTAATACTTTTTAAACATTTGAAAGAAAATGAATCTTATGCAGAGAATTATGTCTTCTGGATATTATAAGTGGAATTTAACATTCATGTTGAGTATAATGTTTTACATTGGAGACTTTTTTATTGTTAGTTTAAAACATATACCAGGAAATCATTGCAGGGGAGTGATCTAATTAAGAGGAGTTAATAATCTATCCAAATCCATCCCTGAAAATAGAATAATTAAAAGATTTGGGAGGCGTCAAAGAATAGGCAAAGATAGAAACTCTTAGTAAGTATAAGAAAAGCCAAAGCAGTGAGGCACCAAGATATGAAGAAAAATAAAAGAGAAAGAAACAAAAAAAACTGTTCACACATGCCATCCCTCTTTCCTGATCTGGATAGGGACTCACAACATGATACATTTGCATATTTTTCCTTTATAATTGGTGTTATAATTATTTTTAATCATCCTGTTTGGCCATGTTATGGCATACCTTCAGGGCAGATTAAACTTGAACCCGTACCTTTCGGCCAGAGGCTGGGATATCTCCACTGCACCACAACAGATCCTCTAAATTAGCGTGTTATATTCAGTTATAAATTCTGATTAAGATCAACGTACCCACCATATTGATAGTGATGTTAATCAGGATTAAATACCGCAGAAATAATTTGCAATGTGTTGCTTAGTTACTTTCTGATTGACACACAGGCTCACCCTGCTCTTCACTGGAAAGAGCCAATGAATTTGAATTTGATCGACGGATCCTTAGTGTAATACAGCCATTTTCATGAAGACAGAATAAAGCATCCCGCTGGCGGCAAGGAATGACCTAGGTCAGAGAAACAGTAAACAGTTTGAAAACATCTGTTTCTCTGAGTAGTGCTGCATATAAATATGTGAAAACAGTAACTGGTTATGAACTGAAATTTCATAAAAACTGCACATCAAATGAAAATATTACAGGAAAAACAACCATAATTTTCAGTAACCTGATGCTCAACAACAAAACCAAAAATAGTGATTTCATTTACAACACATATTTGCCATCATCTCTGCTGCAATGTACGTTAATAAAAAACAGCCAGATGGTATTGTTACAGATGCTCACATTATACCTACTGAAACTGTGATTACACTGGCAGGGTGCCTTGAATAAATGCAGACATATTCTCAAAGGCCACAAAGTTCAACTCAACCTCAAAAAGGCAATCAGAAAGCTTAACCAGTACTCTATCTTTTATATTCTAAAAATATTGCCACCATACAACAATCACATTCTCATTGCAGTCTGGATTTTTTAATTACATAAGGGAGGATTCAGAAACTGAACATATGTATTATTATCATCCAGAAGTAGAAGCTCTGTTTCCTTTTTAACCAGTAGATTTCAATATAAGATATACGCACAATTCCAATTTAATTCTTAATATCATAAAAAAAACTAACTCCACAATTTTAGTGGTTAAATCTTTCTGTAGTTACTCTGAATGCAATAATGTCAGTGCAAGACTGCCTCTTGGTAGAGTTAAGTACCTGAAGAAATGGAGCTCCTGTTCGTTCAATAGCAACTATGCCTACTGTTTGGTTTACTTCCAAGTCAAGGATCAGGATTTCTCTGGGATACAGCAGCAGCATGTGGTTTCTCTTAGATGGTAGATAGGATAACTGCAGGCAGTCATTCAAAGTTACAGACTCGGCACTGAAATAAATCAAGTAAATAATAATATAGAATGATAACATAAATTTTGTACTCATTAATATATGTTGTAAAGTAAAGCATGGTGCATTCTTCTCAAATAACCACCCATTGTGCAATTGGCAGCATCTCTTAATTATACATAGTATTCCAAATGAGGCCAGAAAACCCAACTTCTGGACCATCTAGGGTGATAATTCAGTTCAATATTGAAGAACTATTATTGTTAGAAGTGCCTTTCAGTTGAAATGGTGAAAAGTAGATCTATCTTTCCTCTCTTGTAGATACAAAGATCCAACGGTATTATTCAATGAAGAGCATGGAAGATCTCCTGAAAAAAATCTCAGAACTACCATCATTAAAATAGTTATCCGATCATTTACCTCATTGCTGTTTGCGGAGCAAGCTGGCTGTGACTTCTACTTGCATTACAACTGAAACAAGACTTCAAAGCTTCTGCCATTGAAATCTATGCCTTCTTTTTAATTTTTTTAATGAGATGGGAGCACTATTGGCCAGTATCTGTTGCCCATTCCTATTAGATGCGGCCTTTAATAATGGTGAGACTTAAATAATCAATCCAAATACCAATCAAACTACCCCTCCATAAGAGCAAGAAAAAAATTATAGCTTCAATTTATTTTCATTTCCTATTGTAATATTTGGCAATATACTTGCAAAATTCTTAAAACAATGAAATATCTATTGTTGTGGTAAAGATGTATAAGATATTATCAACAATTGGAAACTTGAATGTGTAACATAGATGCTGTAGATTTTAGTTTTAGATTTTTGAAGGTCAAAACACTTGCAACAGTGATCGAAATACAATATTTCCAAGAAAACATGATTTGGTGAAATGCCTGACAGAATACCTGTCATGTTAATAGATGTAATGTTTATACTGATAGGTTTAAGACACACTGAAAAAGCAGATCAGGAATCACTAATTTAGCTTTGTGTTCAATTCAGAAGAATCAGGAGAATAATTTTCACCCTAGCAGAAGGGTTTTAAGGTTGCAACGTCTTCAAGCTGTGAGGGTTTCTATAGAAGATTTCAAGTTGTTATAACTGAAAAAAAAACAAAAATCAAACAAATCTGTAAAACTGGAAAAAAGTCATAAAACTGTTTCAGTAGCCAAACAGGAGGACTGAAGAGAACAAAAAACAAAGTTGCTGGAATAGCTCAGCAGGTCTGGCAGCATCTGTGAAGGAAAAAACAGAGTTAATGTTTTGGGTCCAGTGACCCCTCCTCAGAACAGGAGAACTGAAGGAAGTCAGTTAAGTCAGATAAGTCAGAAACTAAGGAGATTAGACGGGAGTGATATTTGTCCAAGACTGAGTTTCAGTAAAGGATATGGTATGAACATAGTTGAAAACTATGTTTTGTGGTTTTAAGATCTTTCCAAACTGTCATACACATATAGCTGTGCTTGTTTATTTTATTTTGTGCAATAAATTTGTATGTGTGTTAAAGAACGTTAGCAGCCTCATGCAAAGATGCTCATAGCAACTAATTACAAAAATTAAAGATATGATCTATTAAGATAAGTTTCACTCTGGAATCTGACTAGTCCAGTATTACTATCATTTGCAATCATACTAGCGTTTAGTAGGGCATTAAAGAATCACTTTTTCTTTTACTGCTTTGCTCCCATGGTAAAAACAGCACACCTCTTAAAAGTGGAGGGAACACTGTTGGAAAATATTAAAATTAATATGTAAATAGCATCAATATTCTGTCTTGATCATTTAGGCCTAGTCGCAAATAGGAAACTTATGTTAAAAAAAATCAAAAATCAATCCTATTGGGAGTAACACACAGCCATGAAAAAAACTGAACGTTAACATATTATAATTGAAAACTTTTGTTCCTTTTCTACTTTCAATACATGCATTTTGAAAAGATATATCGTATACTTGCCACATTGTTAATTATAATTGAATATTAAACTTAAAGATTAAACGGAAAGATAATTAATTTTGTCAATGCTAAGTTCATCAATATAAGTGATATCAGAGCTGGGAAATAACATTAAAACATTAGTTCGTGGGCAAGGAGGGAAATTTACAATGAAGAAATGTTCTCTCAACTATAGGTTACAATACAAATAGAGCTTGTAAAATAAAACATTTCATCTTAAGATATAACTTACTTGGGCTTTTCATTGGTGATGAGAATCTTCACTTTGTTTAAGGCTTTCTTGGCACTAGTGGCTGCTGGTTTTGCATGGGCGGGACTTGAGTGTGGACTCGATATATAAACTTTCTTCCCCGAACTGCTAGGAGCTTTGGATGGTGAAAAATCGGAGACAAATACTATTCCTTCACTGGTCAGCACTACAAATAGGAGACATTGTAGAATACATTACAGTGGGGGAAAAAAAAATCTGTGGAAAGCTTTTGTTTAAACAAAATACTAAATGATAAAAAATCTTGTTCAATAACAATTACACTTTCCCTTGAATTGTAATGCAATATATTTTACTAAAAATAATTCACTTTCTAGGCAGCTAGGACATCAACATAAAAATGCCTCTGGCAATCTCCCAGTTAATTTCTCTTCTCTGCAGAGAAACACTTCATCTTCACTCATTCCTTCCTACCAATAGATGAACACAGTATGTGTTAAAAATGTGGCAGTTGTCTTGTGTGCTATTTCCTAAACCACAACAACTTGGAACTCCAAACACAGTGGGCCATCTTCACAACAGAATGTTCAAGACTGAACACAGCAGTTAAAATAAAAATGTTCCAATATTCTGGCATACAGCCTATAAACAAGAAAGGTTTACAACAAAAAGTCTGCAGTGCAGATTCTTAAATCAATTTAAAAACAGTGGCTAGAAAGTGTTATTTGCTAAAAGCTCAGATTTAGGTGTCAGCAATGCCTCAGTGATAACATTCTCACTTTTGAATCAGAATGCTGTGGGTTCATTGCACTTTCCAGAACCATGAGCCTGTAATCTATCCTGACCTTTCAGTGCAGCACTGCAAAAGGTGCTTCTTTCAAATGAGCTGTTAAACTGAAACCTCATCTACCTTCTTTGGTGCATGTAAAAGACCCAATGACACTGCTTGAAGCGGAGACATTCTCCTTGAAGCCCTTTGCAACTGACATCACAAGAACAATTCATCTGGTTTGTTGCTGATATGTGCACTTGTTCTGCATATATTATCTCACATGCTTTTCTTTACTAATTGGATATGGGCAATTTTGGCAAGGTCAATATTTATCATGCATCCCTAATTGCTCTTGTAAAAGTGGAGACAAGGCACCTTCTTGAATACAACCAAGTGGTTCACTAAGCTAGTTCACAACATTTATGTGAGTCAGATGTCAAATATTGGCCAGGTGAAGGAAGGGTGACAGATTTCCTTTCCTAAATGATTTTAATGAAACAGATAGGTTTTGTAGTAATCTGCCCACCATTATCGATACCACCTTTTCCTTTCATATTTTACTTGACGAGGTGAAACTAAATTTCCCAGCCTCCAAAGTGAGACTTGAACTCATGTTTTTGTAACATTAGTCCAGACTCCTCAATTGCTAGTCCAGTAACATAGCCATTACGCTCCTGTATCCTACACTGTTTCCCTATATTACAATGGTGACTCTTCAAAACTTCATTGGCTGCAGTATTTGGGACATTCTGAGTTTGAGAAAAGCACAAAATAACACATATTTGTTTCTTTTTTTCTTTTTCGAGTGTCACCACTGGAAAGTTTCTTCTACAAAAAGATGCTCTCCCAATATATGTGCTCTGATAGTTTGAATCTAAAAATGCCACAAAACACCTGTTTTTATGCAGAACAGCAACTCAAGACTGCCCTTCTAATTTATAAGATAACAGAATATTGAAGACCCCTTTATTCATTCACAGGATGAGGGCATCACTGGCCAGGCAGCATTTATTGCCCATCCCTAATTGCCCAGAGGGCAGTTGAGAGTCAATCACATTGCTGTGGGTCTGGAGTCACATGTAGGCCAGACCAGGTAAGGGTGGCAGTTTCCTTCCCTAAAGGACATTAGTGAACCAGATGGGTTTTTCCGACAATCGACAATGGATTCATGGTCATCGTTAGATTCTTAATTCCAGATATTTTATTGAACTCAAATTCCACCATCTGCTGTGATGGGATTTGAACCGGGTCCCCAGAACACTGTCTGGGTCTCTGGATTAATAGTCCAGCAATAATACCACTAGGCCATCACCTCCCCAGGAGCAGCTAGCAAACCAGTTAGGACCACCACCAACACTTTCAATATTCCACAGTTATTTTCTTTTTTGAGTTCATAATCCAATTGCCATTTAAGACTACAATCGAATTTAGATGCATCACTTGATCAATTGCACTTCCTTTTCTCATTGTAGTAACGTACCTAGACTGAAAGCAAATCTTCAATTTCTACAATGTCATTCACAAGAACTAGACATTCTAAAGCACTTTGCAGCCAATGATGTGATTTTGAAGTGTACTCATCGTTGCTGTGCAGGAAACATGCACTGGAAACAGCACCATTAATTAATTGATCCATTATATTTCCCTAACAGCCTCTGCCTCCAATTTATCTGGGCCGTATCCAAATATATAATTTTACCATAGCTTTCACCATGTTCTTGTCTTTACTTAACTAATCTAAGCTTTACAAAACAATGATCACTATTCACAAGATACTCCCAAACTCTGACGTTCTGATCTTCAACTGGTTTATACCTCAGGACAAAGTCAAGTAATATCCTTCTTAAGCAGGAAATATACCAAATTAAAACATTTCTTCTGAACACTTAGACAAGTAAGTATATATTGCCAACTGCACTGTGAGAATTAGTGCATTTTGAAAAACATACATCCTGGCTAGGTCGGTAACTGAACTCAGCCAGAAGGCTGCACATATTTGTGTGTGTGCACAGCTTCAAAGTTTTCAGCGCTTTGGGAATCAGCAAGTGCATCCACATTCTTATAACAGTATAAAGAGTATGTGGCTAGCTTAGAAAACGGTGAGCTGGGCCAAAGAGAAATGCCTTGACTGATCTCATCATACACCATTTCTGAAGCAAAAATTGCCAAAGTACTGCATAAATTAATTTTTGTAATATTTCAGTTACTTTGCTGGTATGCTGATTTTGAAATAAATGACTTATGTAAGAAATGTATGAATAATTGAATAACTTCCTTTTAACCATTATATTATTCAAGAAATAGATGGTTTTGAATTTTAAAGAAATCAAGGGATATGGGTAGAAAGTGGGAATCTGGCATTGAGATAGAAATCAGCCACAATATATTGAAAGGTAGAGTACACTCAAAGCGCCAAATGGCTTACTGCTGCTCCTAGTTTCTGTGCTTCCATGTTAAACATAGCCAAAGGTAGCAGAAAATAAGTATAAGTGCACATGGCTCTTTTCTGAATGGATCCATGATGCAAAACTTGTAGTGCAACACTGCCTTGCACCACACATCCCAATCTACATCTCATTTTAGAGTCACAAGGGTAGCATAGGTCAGACTTGAGGCAGGAGAAAAATAGACTAAATTTTCAGCAACACTAAGAAAATAACTTCCAAATTTTGTGCAGTTGAAAAACCAAAAACAGATATGTTTCATTACATAGTCAAATATTTGCGCCACCTTAATTGTTTGATACATTGAATAACCTGGAGACAAATAGTTTCTAAAATACACTTAAGGATTATAGAAAAATGTAGAAAAATATCTTCTTGTAAATCCTCAAGATAGAGACAGTCTCTATAATCCCTCAAGGTTTAAAATTACAGTCCTGTTAAATTATAGAAGATTGTAGAAAATTATAGAAGATCATACTTTTTTTCTACAGAAATCATTGCAATCAGAGACAGGAGCATGTTCTACCATAACTGCAAATCAAGTTTTAATCTTGCTATGCCAAAAGATCGTATGCAATTGCATACACCAGGTTAATATTTTTCATTTAGACAGAAAGAAAGAGGAATCAACTTACAAGCGAGATTTGACAGCTCAAAGGGATCGAATGAAAAGGAAAGTATGTTTTCTGCATAACTTTTTCTCCACAATTTTGTACCAGTATCCGCATTCCAAAGTACTATGTAGTTTGGTGGATGAACCGCCAGTAAAAGGTCTCGAGAGGCATCCTGGTTCCACAACCACTCCATGTCTATTAACAAAAAGGAGACAACAAATGCCAATAACAATGTTTTCTTTAGGACAGAGCACAGGGATAAAGATGAACTTTAATCAGTGTACTACATAATAACATAATCATGAAATTTGAAAAATCAAAGATAATTGAGGCTGAACTATTTACTACACCATTACCTTTCAGACTTGGTTTGACTGTGTATCGGCCTTATTAGCACATATGCCTCTCTGGTGATTGTGAAAGATACTGTGTGAGACAAGACTGAGGATGTTATTTTAACCAATTTGAGATCTAGCGGTTAATAGCATAATTCCTACAAACAAACTGTTCCCTTTCTATCCAACCCAAAGAATACATAAAATTTGCAGAAACATGCTACTACATATTGCTTGGAAATTAAAAGCAAAGAGCAGGTAAATGTTGCAGAATTAACAACATTTCAATGCTGTTCAGGATGCCTAAGAGGTGTAGTGTGAACCATTCTACAAAGGGCTTCTTTCAAGTCTTCATGCAGTAACTCTCAAAGTACAAACATGATTGATAATATCAAATCCCAATCACTGCACTGGAGCAAATAACAGCAAAGCTGTGTTCGCACTAGAACAGTTTCCACCAGTTTTCATTTACTATCTGACTCCTGAGTTCGGAGTAATGTCATTAACAGAATGTTACATGACGCCAAGCATTTTCAGTTGAATACCACAGCAAAAGCCTATCAATCGGTTTTGGCACTCAACTTCATGGTTTGTCAAAATTCTGATCTGCTAAAACTCAGTCATACATTTATTAGTTCATTTTCTACACACTTCATTGTGCACTGAACAAGATAAATTTCTGACTAGTCTCATTAGATCTTCCAAAGAATCAACATTTATTGACTAAAACCATAATTCATGCAGTTCAGTTGTTGTCAACAAAAATATATTATGCTCCACACAGAGCAATGTAACACAAAACCAACACAGTATTGTCCAAATTACTAAAGTAATAAACATGTTTGTCACTACTCCACAAAGCCAGAAACAATTAGAATTAGGGGTTAGAATCTAGTCAGGTTGCTGATGGATCAAACATGGAGAATGCCAGAGAAACTCAGTGGGTTTGGCAACATTTATGGAAGGAGAAACAGAGTTAACATTTTGAATCAGTGTGACTCTTCAGTTCTGAAGAAGTTCTGAGCTGGAGATGTCCCGAGTGTGGGTCAAGGTTTCAGTTTCAGATGGGCTGGTTTAGGTAACTTCATGAAGGTAAAGATGCATGGTCTTTGCAATACAGAGGATCTAGTACAGAATTGTTGAATAGGATGCCAGATTCAACCAGCTACATTGTCCAGGGAATGGGGAGTGAGCATATAGCAGTAGTGGAAAGTTTGGAACAAGCGCACTGAAAGAATTATAGAATAGCAGTTTTTCCTCTGGTTTGGTAGCTGTTGATGTCACTGATCTGGGGAAAAAGCAAACTAATGGCCACACCAAAATGAGGATGGTGAAAGACTATGTGATGACACACCTACTACGACATGAAGACATATTGTAAGTAACGCAATTTATTATACCTTGCAGATTACCTTACACATTAAATGACAAATGTGACCTAGACCAATCCCACGCATCTGTCAGCAATGCACCAGACAACAAAGTCACAACAAATTTGTTAACACTCAGTCTTCCTCCAGACAGATTTATACGTTCAATCGCAAAGATCTCACTTCTGAAATCCTTCCAACAGTGCTCTGGGTTGGAGTGCCTGAACACCTCACCCCTCTCTGTGGTTTAATCTCATCTTCCACGACCTTGATCCATCACTGACTCACTAGTGAAGCTCAAACTCCCTTTGAGCTTCCCATGGCTTTTCTCAGCCCTGCTTGCTGCTGAGAACCACAACCTCAGCTCCTGTGCTAGTCATCTCCTGATTTTCTGCATCACCACCTCTTCAGTAATTCCCCTAAATTCCTGGTTATTCTTCTCTCTCGGGATCTACACTGGATCCTGTGACTATTGATGCCACACCAGTATACTCACGATGACCCATTAAATGTTTAATAAAGAATGAAAACAGTCCCAGAACAAAACACGCATAGCTGAAAATGCAGTTGAACTGCATATTTGTTCACAGAATGTGAGCATTGCTGACTAGGCCAACTTTTATTGCCCATCCCTGATTGCCCAGAATGCAGTTACAAGTCAACCACGCTGCTGTGGGTCTGCAGTCATGTGTAGACTTGAGCAGGTAAGGACAGTAGATTTCCTTCCCCAAAGGACATTTGTGAACTTGATGTTTATGACAATTGACAGTGGTGGTCGCTGTGAGGCTAGCTCTTTATTCCAGATTTTTTTTAATTGAATTCAAATCCCACCATTAGCCATGGTGGTATTTGGCTCACGAACAATGGCCTGGGATTCTGGATTGCTAGGCCAGTGACATTACCACTGTATCACCACCTCCCCTTGGTTTTCATCCAAGAAACCATGCTAGAGAAGCTAGTAAGTCAGTTTCTTAACAGTATCAAAAATTTTTACAGCTACATTTTAAGAAGTAAAATCAAAAGCTGTTAAGTTGCCTCACCATACAATCTGACTTTTGGTATTTGATTTGAATTCAATTGAGTTGCAACCAATGCCTAATCAAATATTAACCTGAATGGAAAAAACCTCCGTATTGAGGATGTGAAGAAGAATCATTCGATTCGAAAAATTACTCCCTCCACAGATGTTGCCCGATCTGCTAAGTTTCTCCAGCACTTCTCTTTTTATTTCAGATCTCCAGCATCCGCAACATTTTGATCGCATCTATGAAAGAACCTCAACGCAACTTGTGAAATTACAAATCTCTTTGTTTAGGAATGGACCAAAGCCTACAAACAGAAGTTTGCAGACATCTTTCTCATAAAAGACGAAGGAAACATATGATAAATGTAAAATAAATCTTTCTATTGCGATGGTTCTTGATCCAACACAAAGATCTTAGCTGTCTCAAATTCTTAAAGCATGAAAAGCCACAGCACAAGGTATTAATCGACCTAACAAAATACTTTCTTTGGAACAGCACTTTGGACTTGTGACAAGATCACATGGTGACATACGTTGCCTGTTTTTAAATTACAGCTGAAGCTCTTCTGAGACAGACTATCTAAAACTCATCAAACCTGCTGTAAGACAACTATGGAACCAAGTCTCATTAAAGCATCATCCCTGTGCTTGTTGACCTATGCATAGTTGTCCTTTAGCAGCACTTCAAATTCAAAATTATTATTCTCGCCTTCAATTATTTGCACATTCCCCTCTCTAACCTCTTCTCGCCCTCGTCAGAAGTCACACAACACCAGGTTATAGTCTAACTGGTTTATTTGAAATCACACGTTTTCGTATCATTTCTCCTTTGTCAGGTGAAGTGGAGGAAAACGCAAAGGCACAGAATTTACATGCTGAGAGAAAATGGCAAGATAATTCCAGGTGATTAAGAGTGTCAACAGATAAGAACAAATTGTGTGAGTGGAGTGTCAACAAGCTGAATAACAAGTCTTAAAAACCTAAAGAACTGCGGATTCTGTAAATCAGAAATAAAAACAGAGATTGCTGGAAAAGCGCAGCAGGTCTGGCAGCATCTGTGAAGAGAAATCAGAGTTAATGTTTTGGGTCTGATGACCCTTCGTTAGAACTGATGCGAGCTAGTAAAATGTCGGTTTATATGCAGAAGATAGGGTGAGGGAACAATGTAAGGATAGGTGGAGATAGAGCTTAAACAGTGAGAAGAAAAGTTGGACAGACATAGGAATGGATAACGATCTGTCTGGGTGAATGAATAGCTGTTTATGGAAACTGTCAGTGGTTAAGAATAGGTAGTGCGTGATGGCAGACTATGTGATAACAAAGCCTGGAATGTGGGGTTGGGGTGTAGGATATGGGAGAGCTCAGGCCCTAAAATTATTGAACTCAACACTGAACCCGGACGCTGCAGTATCCCAAAGTGAAAAATGAGGTGTTGTTTCTCCAGCTTGCACTGAGCTTCTCTGGAGCACTGAAGCAAGCCTGAGACAGAGACGTTCAGCAGGGAATTGGGTAGTTTGTTAAAGTGGCAACTGGAACCTCAGTGTCTGCCATCACACACTACCTATTGTTAGCCATTAATAGCTATTCACCATCCCAGCCAGATCGTCATCTACTCCTTTGTCTGTCCAACTGTTCTTCTCTTTGGGCTCTAGCTCCAACTACCATTTACTCCTTACACCCTCCCGCCACCCTATCTTCTGCATATAAACGGACATTTTCTTAGCTACCATCAGTTGGGCATCATAGGGCACGGAAACAGACCCTTCGGTCCAACCAGTCCACATGAACCATGCTCCCAAACGAAACTAGTCCCACCTGCCTGTGCTTGGCCTATACTCCTCCAAAGCTTTCCTAGTCATGTAATTATCCAAATGTCTTTTAAGCATTGTAACTATACCAGCATCCATCACTTCCTCTGGCAGTTCATTCCACACACAAACTACACTATGTGTAAAAAAATTGCCCCGCGTGTCCTTTTTAAATCT